ATCTGAAGTGTTTTCCTCCTGGTGGCATCTGCCTCCCCCAGCGCCATGCCTGGTATGCTTCTATGGTCTGGAGTCTGCTGCTCCTCAGGGATAATTTATGTTATTGAAGTGGTACTGGGTTAGAAAATTCCCTGGCTCTACCAGAAGTCACAGATTTGGTTTCCAGCACTCACATGGCTGGTCACAGCTACCTGTAGCTCCAGCTCCACTGTATCTGAGGCTGTGGTGGGGTCCTGAATGTGACACACACACATACACACATACACACACACACACACACACACACAAATATAAATCTCTAAATAGAGCTGGGCAGCAGTGGCACACACCTTTAATCCCAGCACTTGAGAGGCAGAGGCAGGCGGATTTCTGAGTTCGAGGCCAGCCTGGTCTACAGAGTGAGTTCCAGGACAGCCAGAACTACACAGAGAAACCCTGTCTCGAAAAAAACAAAAAAACAAAAAAAACAAATAGATCTCCAAATATTTCTAACTATGCCTCTGACCCATAGTTCTCACCATAGTGATAACTCTTCCCCGTAGAGAATTCAGGGTAATGTCTTGGGACATGTGTAGCTGTCACACTGGGGGTGCTCCAGGTACAGAATAAGCAGAGCCTAGGATGATGCCTACTGCCCCTGAAGATCCCAGGATGCCTTAGAGTCCTTGGTGTCTGTCAGGGCGAGGGTGGAGGTGGAGTTGTTTGAGACTTATTACCGCCATAGTTTGAGGCACTGTCAGAGGAAGGAAGTGGAAGGTGAAAATCCAGAGTCTCCCTATGAGAGGCTTCGTGGGCTGCAGCTAAGGGGGAGGGGGCAGTGGGGCATATTCCCTCTAGCTGTGTTTCATCTTTGTCTCCTCTGCCTTTTTCCTGAAATTTTTTAATTTTATTTTTTCATGTGTATGAGTGTTTTGGCTGCATGTATGTATGAACGCCATGTGCCTTCCAAGGTCAGAGGGAGGCACTGAATCCACCGGAAGTGGATTTACAGTCCTAGCCACCACATAGGTGCTGGCTATCAAACCTATGTGCTCCAGAAGAGCAGCCAGTGTGCCTCACCACTGACCAGTCTCTCCAGCCCTCTTCTTTCTCTGTTTGTCTAGTCTGTGTTTTCCCTCAACTTCTGTCTTCAGATCTGTTTCTCTGATCCTTTTTTCTTAACTTATGTGCTTGCATAACTCAGTTCTCTCCTTCTTCCATGTAAGTTCTGGGGCTTGAACAGAGGTTTAGCTTGACAAGCCCTTTTGTCCACGCTTCGTGGAATGTCTGTCCCTTATGTCTCTCGGTCCCCCCCAAGACTCCTTCTGGCAGGCCATCTCGCCCTCTAGCGGCCTCAGAGGGAACCGTAGACACACGGATCTATGCACGTTGTAACCTACGTGTGCACGGAGCAGTGTGTGGAGTAACGCAGGGTGTGGGCTCGCCCCTCCATCATACCCCAACCCTTATTTTCATACGTGAAGTAAAAAAAGGCACATATATAAATTAAAAAGTATTAAAAAGAAAATGACCAAAAAAACCAAACAAATCACCCCCAAAACACTGCAGCGCAGGTGAGATGAGGCCAGCGGGACGTCAATCTTACCCAGCCACCTTTTTTGACAACTTATTTAAAACTCTGTGTTGTGTGTGTGCGCGCACGCGCGTGCTTGCCACGGAGCGCTTAGGTTCAGAGTCAACCTGCAGGAGACATTTCTCTAGGGCCACCTTGTGAATTTACGGGGATCGAACTCATGCCGTCAGATTTGACGTCAATCGCCCGTAACCGCTGATCACCTTCTCACCAGCCCAGCTGCTCTCTATGGCGCCAGCTGCGCTCGGCCGGAGTCTGTCCCTACACTGATCCTCAGTGGCGCTCCAGGTTCCGAAGTGTCAAGTTTGGGTTACTTTTTGACCTTTGACCCCACCCCCAAGGCCGTAGAGAGTAAGCCTGGGCTGGATCACTTTAGGGATCCACGAGCTTCTCTCTCCGCCCTCCCCCAGGCCTCCAGTCGCGGCCGTTCCCCGGAGGACGTTGACGCGCGTGAACCCTAACCCGAGGCCCGAAACTCCGAGGTCACCACCGCAAGCCGAAAGGTTTCGCCGGCCAGTCGCGCTTGCTGACGGGCGTCCACGACAGCCACTTACAAATAAAATCCCGCCCCCACACACTAGCGCCAACCACTGAGGGGCGGGGCTTGAAGCCACAGCCCTCGGCCGCTCCCTTACAGTCCCTTGCTTACTCCAGCTCCCATTGACCAGCGTCTGAGACAACCAATGAAAACATAGATCACGCCTTCTCAGGTGGAACCCGAGCTGTCCAATGTCAGCTCGGACGCCCACCCAGATCTAAATAGCCCAATCCGCGTTGGTGATTGAGGCGGGTTCGAGGGGTGGGGCTTAAGGCTACAGCCAACTGCCGCGCACGTCAGCCCCGCGAGGGGCGTGTCCGCCGTTGAGACGTGCGACGACGGCGCGGCGCAGGGCGGTAAACAAGATGGCGGCGGCGTGTCGGTCTAGGAAAGGGGAGGCGGCTCACGGCGTCCGCGAGTGAGGCGCGAGCCGCTGAGGGCTGCGCCGGCGTGGAGTTTTCTCTCGCGAGCAGCATCTTTCTGCCTGGAGTTCGACTACCCCCTCGCCGCTCCGGCCTCCTGCCTGTCGCGCGGCGGCTAGGCGGCGAGGGGGACGCGCCGCCCGGGGTGTTTTTTCCCGCTCGGTCCCCGGAAGATTCCTGTCCCGACTTCGTGCCCGCGATTTGCGGGTGTCCGGGTGTCCCGCGTCCGGGTGGAGTCTGCGCCCCGAGAAGTCGTGGAAATAAGGGGCCGCGCGTGGCGTCGGCGCGGGCCGGACATGGACGGTGCGGACCGGCCTCGACGCGGCCGCCTGGGCCCCTGAGCGCGGGGCCCAAGTGGCGACCATGACCTAGCGGCCCGCGCGCCGCGACGGCGGACCGTCGCCTCCGTCGGAAGCAGCGTCCCCGGGGACCCGAATTGGGGGGACGCGAGGGTTGGGGGACTCATTGCTTTTTTTCTTTTTCATTCTTATTTTCGTTTTTTTCCTCCCTGAGCACCTAGAAGAAAAGGGGAAAACCAAAAGTGAAGAATTGGCGCCCAGGAAGCGGACGTGGACCCGGTTGTGGGGACCGGGAGGGTTGTGGAGGTCGTTCCTTTTTTTCCGCCTTCCTTTTTTTCGTCCTTCTTGAACATTTGGAAGAAACGGGTGGGGGAAATTCGAACTTGAAAAGAATTGGCGCTCTCGAAAGGGACAAGGACAAAGAGTGGGCCAGGATGGACGAGGCGGACCCCCAGCCGTTGGGCCTGTTCCCCGAGGGCGAGCTGATGTCGGTGGGCATGGACACCTTCATCCACCGCATCGACTCCACCGAGGTGATCTACCAGCCGCGCCGCAAGCGCGCCAAGCTCATCGGCAAGTACCTGATGGGGGACCTGCTCGGGGAGGGATCGTACGGCAAGGTGAAGGAGGTGCTGGACTCCGAGACCTTATGCCGCAGGGCGGTCAAGATCCTCAAGAAGAAAAAGCTGCGCAGGATCCCTAATGGCGAGGCCAACGTCAAGAAGTAGGTGCCAAGGGTCTGGGGCCGACGCGGGCGCTGTCTTGAGCTTCTTGGACAGCCCTTGCTCCTCTACTTTCTGGCTCGTCTCTTTCCTCTAATCTTCATTTCCTTCTCATTTCCTTCCAACTTTTCCTCTCCCCTTCCTTTCACTATCCTATCCACCCCATCTATCCCTCAGCATCACCTCGTGGGGTCAGAGTGCTTTGGCAGCCCGCAGGACTGTCCTAGGGGGAGGTCGTGTGGCCGACTGCGCCTCCAGCTCTCCTCCTCTTTGGGCCAGGTCCTTTTGCAAGTCGCGCCTGGCTCCTTTGGCGGGCGTTGCCAGGCGGGTGGCTAGTTTGTTTACGCAGTTAGAGGGAACCGGTGGGGCCAAAAAATAATGGTGGAGACTTGGTGGTGGTGGTGGTGGGGTAGCCGGCCAGTACTGGCTCGGTCCCTGCGGTGTCCTGCATAGTTGGCGTTACTGGGCTGTTTACTGGACCGTGGGGTCCCTTTATCACCTGCCCAGCTTAGCAAACTTGGGAAACTTCACCTACTGACTTGCAAGAAGGGGCCTTATCTTTGAGGCCAGCACTGGCGGCTCTCTGCATAACTGACCTTGCTTGTGGTCCTGTCCCAGGAAAGGCTGGCAGCTTCTTGGTTTTGCCAGCTGAGCACTCCTGAGTGGTACCCACAGGAGGGTGGGCAGATACCCAGCTGTAGAGCAGAGCAGGCTGGGGTCCTAGGCTAGCCTCAGAACCTGCTTTGCCTTCTTTGTAAGAGTGGATCTAGGTTAGTCTTGCACTGGGGAACCGGGCGACCCAGCGTCAGGTGTTCCTTCAGGTGAATTCAGAGGCCTGAGCTGGGATAAACTGGTCTGAAATTGTCTTAAGGTGACTCCATCTCTGGGTGGTGTTTGCTGGGCTCCGAGGCAAGCTTCAGGGTAGTGGTCCTGAAGCCCACTGTGGCTGGCTGGCTGCCCAGGCCTGCATCCTGGCTTGGGTCAGCAGCACTCCGAGTGCACATGGCAAGCCTGTGCTCTCTGCCTGTGACAGGGCCCCAGAGCTCTCTGCAAGTTCATGGCCCTCACCTGCTACTTTAGGCATACTGCCATCTCTACCTGAGATTGCCAGGTCAGGGTGTGGCTTGTAGAACCAGGCAGGTTCAGGGGAGAGAAATTGGTCCCTTGACCCTGAAGTGGCCCCACCTGAGTTATTGGGGTTACGGGAGTGATGGTGTCACGTGTGAGCTTAGAGGGACGCTGGACACAGTCCATTGGAGGTTACCAGCTAGGGTGCTGTGAGGAGCCTGCACTCTTCCTCAAGATAGCAATTGGTCTGGGCAAGCAGGCACATGCAGTGCTATAGAGACTGAGGAAGGAGGATTGCTTGTTTCTAGACCAGCCAGGGGTGCATGGGAAAACCTGGTTTCATAAGGAAAACGGAGTGGTAGGTGAAGGCCCCAGAACCCACAAGATGAGAGCAGACCGAGATGTCACAGGTTTGCTCTGACTTGAGTGTGTGTGCTGTGGCACTTGTGCACACACAAGATAAAGACTGGGAGAAGAAACTGACGCATAAGCTGCAGGCTACCACACTGCCCTGTACTGAGGTCCTTGAATGGCATGACACAAAGCCAGGTACTCCAGGGAGTGCTGGTGTTACCCACTGCTCGAGTGACTCGTGCAGTGGGAACTCTAAGGCTGCGGCCCTGCCTGTGTGATCCACACACACAGAGGCACAGCCTGGAAGGGGCAGCTCAGTGACAGCTGGTGCAGGCAGAAAGGCCCTTTGTCTGCAGGAGCTTAATAGACTGCACTCATGTGGTCTTTTACGGTGAAGTGTCTGGAACCTCCAGGACTGCACTCATGGGGTCTCTTACGGTGAAGTGTCTGGAACCTCCAGGCAAGCCTTCTGGGGTCCTGTCCTCCAGTCTGCTGCACAGAGTTTTCTCCTTTCAGTACCAGTGGGGTAGTGTGGTGCCTTCCTTCCTGGGAAGGCTGCAGGGACCTGTGCCCTTGGCTCCTGTCACCCCCACTGTGACAAGTAGCAACATCTTTCTTCTTTTAACATTTATTTTTTTAATGTACATTGCTGTTTTGCCTACATGTGCGTCTGTGTCGGATCCCCTGGAACAGGAGTCACAGACAGTAGTTAACTGCTTTGTGGGTGATAAAAATTGAACCCAGGCATGGGCCCTGTTGCTTGTGCATAGAGAGATCCTTCAGACGGCACAGGTTGAAAAAGTCCACCTTAGAATTTGGCAGTCCTGAGGCTCTTGCAGCCTTGTGTTGTATGTGCTGTAGTGTGAGGTATGGACCCAGTGAGAACTGATGCCCTCACTACTTTTGTATGTTTGCTTCTTGTTTATGTTTTGTCTTCTTGTATCTTTTGTTTTTGTTGTTGATGTCTTTGTTTTTTAGATTTGTCCCTCTTCCCTGTCCCCCCAGGGTGTCTCTGTGTACCCCCGACTGTCCAGGAGCTCACTCTGTAGACCAGGCTGGCTTCAAACTTATGAGGCCCACCTACCCTTGCCTCCTCAGCGCTGGGGTGACATGCATTTGGTCACCACTGCCTGGCTGTTTGGATTTGCTTTCGTACATGTGTATGTATAGAGGTGGGTGGGTGGGAATGCACATGTGCCTGTGGAGGCCGGAAGAGCATCATCTCCTGGAGCTGGACATGTGAGCTGACTAACATGGTACTGGGAACTGAACACAGGTCCTCTGTAAGAGCCAAAGACACTCTTAATCACTGAGCTACATTTGAGTGTTTAGAGAGGGTCTCAGTTCACTGTGCAGTTATGGATGACCCGGTAGCTCCTGAGTGGTGGGGTAGTGGCTGGGCACCATCAGGTGAGGAGGCATTTATTTTGCTCCTGTGAGGCAGGGTCTTTTCGTAATGCTTGATCTCAAGCTCTGGGCCTCAAGGGCTCCTCCTGCCTCTGTATGTGTGCCGAGACATCCTCACCTGTTGGGTTGCTCTTTGCTAGCTGCAGGTCGTGGATGGCCGGCGGTGTCTGTTCTGAGTCCACTGGGGCGATGGTTCCTGCTGGCCCTAGTGCTTGACCCTCTTTACTAGTTCCCCTTGCCTTCCAGGCGGTGGTCAGGGCTGAAGGCTCTGCTGCCAAAGCCTGGGTCCTGCCAGGATGGACCATGATTAGTTGAGCTGTGTGTCCTTTGCAATTTGTCTGGCTGCTGCTGCTGTCTCTCTTTGGGGACAGGGAGCACCTGCCTGGGCAGAGTGGCTTGTGCTGGATGGCCACTGGCCACTTAGAGACAGGGCAGGCAGTGTGTTCAGCTGTTGGGTGTCACCACTCAGTCTGGATCTGCACCTGTCTGGGTTGCTGGGGCCATGGGAGATGCTGGCAGCTCTCCAGGGACAATGGGAGGCCATACCATGGTGACTGGCAGGCTGTGTGACTTGGACTATACATAGTTGGGACATTAGTGAGTTGAGGGAAACAGAGCCCCGGACTTTGTTGGTTTTCAGCTCTCAGTTCACAGAACATGCAAAGCATACTGGACGAGCTGCTTGTGCTGCCTGCCTGAGGGACAGTACTGTGGGGTGGCCCTGTGCCCACACCCATGCACGGCCTCCTATGGCCCACATATGTGTATGTGCATATGGTATATGATCAGCCTTGGGTGCCACCTCTCAGTGCCCGGCACTTCATTTCAGACTGCCTGGGACCTGGAACCTGTGACTAGATGAGGTAACAGGGCTCATAGGTGTGTACCACCACAGTCAGATTTTTTTTTTTTTTTTTAAGACAGGGTTTCTCTGTATAGCCTGGGATGTCCTGGAACTCACTCTGTAGACCAGGCTGGCCTCGAACTCAGAAATCCCCTGCCTCTGCCTCCCAAGTGCTGGGATTAAAGGCGTGCACCACCACGGCCCGGCCCACAGTCAGATTTTTATGGGTGTTAGAAGATCAAACTCAGGTTTTCATACTTGCTTGCCAAGACTTCCTGTCTCTGCAGTCCACTGTTAGCTAGTTTCCTCGGTAGGGTATTGGTGCTTCCATGAGGGAGCCATGCATAGACCCAGTCCCAGGCGGCTGCACACTGGACCATGGCTGGATGGAGCTCTAGCATCTGCTGTACGAACAGAATTCAGGACAACCTCAGGTGTGGGCCATGCTTTTCCTTCTCCAGTGCCAGGGCCTGGTGTATGCAAGGCAGGTGCCCTGTCACTGAGCTCTGCTGCCCTGAGAACTGAGTTGGAGTGCCCCCTTTCCTAAGTTTAGGGTCTGTTGAGGATGTGGAATCCCTTTGATTGAGGGCCTGGTGTTTGTCAGTTCCAGGAGATGTGTGGTCTCAGTTTTGAGTACTCTTCAGAAAGCAGGACTATGCTTCCTGCCTGGCCTTGACTGGGCTGCCTGTGAGGAGCTTGGGTGGGACCTAGCAGAAGGGGCTTCCTCCCTTGCCTGGGCTCTGAGCTGCTGAGCTGGTTTCCTGCTTCCTCCTACACCAGTGGACAGCCAGCTTCTCTTAGCATCATTCTCTGTTGTTTCTGGACAGGAGCTCTCTCTGTAGCCCAGGCTGACCTATGTACAGCACCATGAGGCTTCCTTCTCCTCACCTGCTTTTTTTAGTTACCTAAAAGAAACCCTGAACACAGGGGGAAGGTGGCACAAAGCCCTGAAGGCAGGTGGTTGGGGTCCTTCCTGGCTCTGGACCTGTCTGGGCTCTCAGGCTCCCTTATGTCCTCAAGCACTTTGCTAAGGGTGAGAATTGGATGCTGGTGGGGGTGGGGGGGCTTCAGTAAGGTGCTGTTTTCTTGTTCCTTTTTTTTTTTTTTTTTGAGTATTTTGCCTGTATGTTGCTCCAAATGTACCTGAGGAGCCAGAAGAAGGCATCAGATCCCCTGGAACTAGAGTTCTGGGTAGTTGTGAGCCATTGTATGAGTGCTGGGAATTGAACCAAGGTCGTCCGGAAGAGCTTTTATCTGTCGCACCATTTTTCCAGCAACCCAGGTTAGCCTTAGACTCCTGATCCTCCTGCTTCAGCCTCCTGACAGGGTGTTGGATTACAGATATGTAACCATGTCCAGTCCTCAGGATGGTGCTGTGACGCTATCACCCAACACCTGACTGAGGCTACTTAAGGAAGGAAGTGATTGCAGGCAGAGTTCCTCCCTGTGGGGGAGGCCTAGTGGCAAACTGGGAGGCACCTGATGACATCACATCATATCTGCAGGCAGGAGGCAGACTCCCCCTCAGTTCATTTTTTTGGGTTTAGGACTTTGTCTTTACTCAGTCTGATCTGGAGACTCCCTCTGACTTGGCCAGTGCCTGTGGAGTTGATCACCGTTAACCAGCATATCCTCTGCTGTGTGACAGACTGCTTCTGGGGAGATGCTACGCACCGTCTGCTTACCCAGATAACCAAAGGACGGGTACCACCACGGTCCCATGTGTGAGCCAGTGAGCTTCACTGGAGTTACTTAGAGGAGCAGAGATGACTTGGAGACAGCTGCATCCCCAAGGCCCTCCCCAGCATGGGTGACAGCTTCCAAAGCTGGGAACCTGGAGACACTGCACAGCCTGCAGGCAGTGCGACAGGCTGCAGAGTGTCCTTTCCAGGTGGCTCGTGCATTCTAAACCTCTTCCTGGAAGGCTGCTGATGTGTGAGCTGTTGTGTAGCTCAGCTCAACAGCCTTCATTGCTCACTCTAGGGGGGAGGAGTGTAGTGACATTTTTAAGAATGCTGGAATTTTGGTTTCTTAAAAAAAGAAAAAAACACAGAAATGGGGACTGGAGAGCTGGCTTAGTGGTTAAGAGCCTGGCTACTGTTCTGGAGGACTCGAGCTCAGTCCCAGCACCCACATGGCAGCTCACAGTTGTCTGACTCCAGTTCCAGGGTGTCTGACACCATGACATAGACATGCAGGCAAAACACCAGTGCATATAAAAATAATAAAAGTAAAATCATTTTTAAAATCATACAAATATCATAAGAATGTGCTTTTATTTTAATCCCAGGTCTGGGGTATGGGCCTGATTTGGACTGTCCATAGCCGCAGACTATGAATTGCCTCGTGCTCTAGCAGTGGAGTGGTTTTGCCAGCTGCAAGTAGTTTCTGGAATCCCGGGAACTTTTCAGTGGGTATATAAAAGTGAGCCCCATCCCCTACCTCCAGGCAACAAGATTGGTGATCTGATTAGGGAGGTTGGTTGCAGTTTGTTAGTAGCCATTGTTGAAGTTGAAACCAAAGGAAAGAAATTAGATTCATAGAGTTTCCTAATTCCTCTGGCCCCTCTATCCTTTCTTCTCTCCTCTCCAGTGTTAGGGTGGGAAAAGTTAAGGGGAATAAAAGGTTGGAAAAAGGAAAGCGCACAAAGTAACAAAGACCAGCTAGAGAGGGGCCTCCTGCATGTGGTTGGTTTCGTGGACTTCCTGAAGCTGTTCAGTGTTACTTTCCTACCTTATGGTTTGCTTGCTTGTATTTAGATATTTTGGTTTTGTTTTGTTGGTTTTTGGAGACAGGGTTTCTCCCTGTCTGTTGTAGAACTGACTCTGTAGACCACCCAGGCTAGCCTGGAGCTAAGATCTACCTGCCTTTGCTCCTGGTTCCCTCCAAGTGGCAACCTCGCCCCAAGCTTCGTTGTTTACCTTCTGTCTTAGATTCTCTGCTGGATGGAATGTTTCAGTTTAGGAAAACATTTTCACAAAACACCATTTCAACTTGTGTGCACAGGAGGGGACAGACCACACCGCACACAGGCACATGCTCTCACAGCACACGGGCATTATTTATTTATTTATTTATTTATTTATTTATTTATTTATTTATTTGACATGTTTTCTGTACATGGCCCTGGCTGTCCTGGAACTCACTATGTAGACCAGGCTAGCTTTGAACTCAAAGAGATCCACCTTCCACGTGGAGATTAAAGGCATGCGCCACATGGCCAGCTCTAGGATTTTATTTATTTGTTTTGCAGTGCCTCTGTAGGGTCCAGCTGTCAGCTGACTCACTCAAGTGTCCTGTCTACCTTGATTGGCTTGAGTATTGGCCTCTCAGATGTCATGATGGTATCAGCTGGTGTGGCATCTGCTCAGCTCCCACCTCCCTCATGGGCTTCAAGCCCTGCCTTTGTGACAGTCCCTGCTGTGAAGTGCGATATCCGGATGGGGGCTTGGTTTGTACAACTGCCTGGAAGTTGGTGTGGACGAGGGGAGCTGTTAGGGTCTGGAGGTTGGGTCGTGCTGTATCTGAGCACTGGTCCAGGCAGCCCCAACCCCAAGACATATATGAGTATGCATCCAGCCTTTGCAGGTCCCTTTCATGTTTGTGGCTCCTGGGGACAGAAAGTGAACTAAGGTTGAGCTCAAAGTCTTCTTGCACCCACCGTGTGGAGGAAGGATAGTTGTGTCCCAGTGCAGACCGACTCCATAAATACCGTGTGCCTAGGCTGCCTGAGCACTGCTCAACTTGGGCCCAGGGGTGAAAGCGCAGTGCTCAGAGCAGGGCATCTTTTCCCTTCCAGCCTGCTCCCCCAGCCCTGCACACCAAGCCTGTGACCAGGCTGGGAGGACGACAGCCCAGAACGAATGATGGATGACAAGTGGGCTGTGCTCAGGGAGACTTCTGAAAGAAGGGGGTCTGAGGTGGTGAGGGCAGGCCAGGGAGGGGCTCTGTCCACCCAGCTGAGCTTTTGGGTGAGGATGCAAACTAGACTGCAGGGCAGACCGTGCCCTCACTCATGGCATGCCAGCAGCCTCCTGGAGAACGTGCATAGTGTAGCTGTCACCACTGTCGAGTGGCTTAATGTTGAGTCACCTTAAAGGAAGGCCCTGTGAGCTGTCCACTAAAGCCATAGCCCTGTGCCCCCAGGGAATTCTGGACTTGTTCTGGACATTCACTGTCACGGAGGCCACACTGTGAGGCTTCTTTTTGTCTGCGACTCTCACTGGACTGAGATGTCTTCAGGGTCCCTCTCGGCTGTGACAAGTATCAGAGCCTTGTTTCTGTTCATACCTATGTGATACTTTACTTCATTATGTAGGTGGGTCTGTTGTAGTGTCTGTCAGTGTGGGAAAACTGGCCTGTCCCTTTGGGCCCTGTGAGACTTTGGCAGCTGGGTGACATCTGTGATGAGTCTGTGCTGGGTGCTGTGCATGTACTTGGAGCTTCTGATGTTGGGGTGCTGGGTTCTTACCTGAGTATCAGACCTGAGCTAAGGGAAGCCTCTGTGATAAGCCAATGGCTGCATCGATCTGTTGGACAGTGACTGTCACGTAGGATCAGTGCCTTTATCTGTAGTGTCATGATGACTGTTGGTGCTGTTGCCAGTTTCTGGCCTGACTTCAGCCCAGTGGGGGGAAGTCCAGGGTTGTGAGGTGGGACAGTGCATGGGAGAAGGCCCTGTGGCCCTTGTAGCCTAGCTCCAGGCATAGCTGGTACTGGACCTGTGCCACCTCCCATAGAGCTTTGCTCTTATGAAGCAGTCCTGGTGTCCTGGTGTCCCTCTCTGCTATGGCTGGAAACTACCACAGCCCAGGTGACTGTCCACTCCTTGGGATTGAGCCAGGTGTCAACAGGCAAACAGGAAGCTCCACCCCCACCTTCCCCATTGTCCAGTGTGTCCCAGATGGGCATCTGTGCCAGGACTCGATGGAGGCTTCTCACAGCAGGTGGGGTCAGCTGAGCATGTCCTCTGTTGCTGCAGGGAGATCCAGCTGCTGCGGCGGCTGCGGCATCGGAATGTGATCCAGCTTGTGGATGTGCTGTACAACGAGGAGAAGCAGAAGATATATCCTGTGGGGTGGAGTGCCATGGGGCGGTCCCTGTATAGTAGGGAGTGGAAGCCCTTTGCAAGACCTGGCTGCAAGTGTAGTGCTGTGTGTCATCCTGTGGTGCCTGTCAACTCAGCAGGCGGGTGAGCAAGGTGTGGGGGCTTCCACCTATGCTAGCCTGGTCTGACCAATGTGGCTGGAACTGGGCATGGCCTCACAGGTGGTATTTGGGGGCCTACATATTTTGGCAGTGCCCCGGTTCTAGAGGTTTCCATGCCCTTCCCAGAGAAGAGCTTGCTCAGCTGTTTCTGTGTCGTCCTGGGAGTATTCTGAGAACCAAGTACTCGGTAGTTGGCTGCAGTCCCAACTCCTAGGTTCCCCATGGCTCCCTCCCTGTGGCTTGTTTCTGATCTTGTTGTGACCTGTGCTGACTCCATGTGGTCCAGGGCAGGGCAGTGGCCTTGTGGGCCTGTGAGACTGATAGACTGATAGGGGTCAGAGTGGTAGTGGCCTGCTGGCCCAGCAGAGCCCTGCACCCCCAGCAATGTCTTCACTTCCTCAGTTGCCCTGGGCTTTCAGGGCACTGCAGACTACTGTTGCTAGGAGCAGGGCTCCTGGGCCTGCTGTGTGCTGCTTTCCTTAGCGCCCTACGTATATGGTGATGGAGTACTGCGTGTGTGGCATGCAGGAGATGCTGGACAGTGTGCCGGAGAAGCGCTTCCCCGTGTGCCAGGCTCATGGGTGAGTGCCCTGCTGGGTGTGGGACGAGCAGCAAGTGTCAGGAAACCCAGATGTTTCTGGGCCCCCCGTTTTTAGCCCAGCCGGTGTGCTTGGTGTTACCTTTTTGTTAGGCCCTGTGGGCCCACTGCCCTGCAGAGCCATAGTGGCTCTGAGGCCTGATCAGCCATCCCAGGTTCAGCAGAGTCATATCCCTTGGTTAACAAAGAACAGAGGGCAGGGGAGGAAATGAAGCCAGAGGGGAAAGCTGGCTCCCTGGGCCCGGACAGCACTGACTGGAGTTGCCTGTGTATTGTCCAGTGGGCCCTAGCCTTCTGACTGTTGAGTCTGTGCGCTGATCTCTTAAACACCTACCCCCTTGTGGACCAGGCCTCATGAGCCTCCCAGAGCTCATTGCAGACTTATGTAGGCACCGTGGTGTGGGCTGAGACCCTGTGGGGCCTGAGCCAGTCCCACCCATTCAGGTACTTCCGCCAGCTGATTGACGGCCTGGAGTACCTACACAGCCAGGGCATTGTTCACAAGGACATCAAGCCGGGCAACCTGCTACTCACCACCAATGGCACACTGAAGATCTCCGACCTCGGTGTTGCCGAGGTAGGCACCGTGTGCAGGGATCCTGGGCCGCTTCTCCTGAGCTGCCCTGACTCTCACTGCCCTGCAGGCCCTGCACCCTTTCGCTGTGGATGACACCTGCCGGACAAGCCAGGGCTCCCCGGCATTCCAGCCCCCAGAGATTGCCAATGGACTGGACACCTTTTCAGGTTTCAAGGTGGACATCTGGTCGGCTGGGGTCACACTGTGAGTGTCCTGTATGTACCCTGTAGCAGATGGGGGCTGTGGATTTTCTCTGGTGTTCTCGGGCCCTTTGACCCATAGGGTGTGGCCAGCAGGTTGGACATTCCAGATCTGCAGGTGTAGTTCCCCTCCACGCCCCACCCCAGAGGCTTTGTTTCATGTAGGGTGCCGTGGCTGCACATCTACCATGTCTCCTGTCTGGGAGCCGAGGGGCACCTGGCTTCTGCTCTCAGCTGTGACTAACACTGACGCTCTTTTCCTGTGTGAAGCTACAACATCACCACGGGCCTGTACCCGTTTGAGGGGGACAATATCTACAAGCTCTTTGAGAACATCGGGAGAGGGGACTTCACCATCCCTTGTGACTGTGGTCCACCACTCTCTGACCTACTCCGAGGTGGGCATCTCTAGATCACCCGAGTGTCAGGACAGCCAGGGACAGAGCCCCTGCTCTGTGGAGGAGTTCTGACCCAACTGACAGGACAGCTCTGTCTGCCGGATGGGAGGTTTCTGAGATTGTTTCCCCCAATCTGGGGGTGGGGGGTGGAGGCGGTGTGCTGTGTCCCTGCTGCCTGTTGCTCTCACTGGGGCCTAGGAAGACCAACAGTTTGGGTGGTGGTGGGGAGCTCTGGCACAGCGCAGGCAGGCACTGGCTACACTCTCACACATCTCTTCTGTCATACAGGGATGCTGGAGTACGAGCCAGCCAAGAGGTTCTCCATCCGACAGATTAGGCAGCACAGGTGAGCGTGGCTGGCCTGTCTCAGCCTGGTGGGTGTCTGAGCTGAGACCATGGTCTCAGAGGGATTGTTACAGGGATAAGGATTTGTATGTCCTGGGAAGGCTGTGTGTGAACTTGGGATGTGAAGGGGGTACCCAGTGCAGGCCAGGGGTAAGGAGACCATCCAGACTCCCTACGTTTACCTTTCTGTTGAGGAGGGCAGGCAGCTGGATGGCTGAGAAGCTGGAGACACGGGGCCTCCCGCGGTGGAGAGGGAGTGGATGGGAAAGGGCACTGTGGACCCCAGCTGGTCCTTGGCCATCTGGACGTGAGAATGTGTCTAGGGAGGCCAGCAGGAAGCATGAGACATGGAGTCTTTCCTCCCCTGAGGGTTAGAGCCTTGTAGGTGGCAGCGGAGCCTCTGTCTTGCCCTTTATTTACCAGCTGGTCGGAGCCATGGGTCCAGGTTTCTCTGTCCTGGGCCTCTTGCTACCTCCATGCTAGACTGAGACTGGCTCAGCTGGGCACCCCCAAGGAGGGCTTCTAGCCTACCCTTGTTCAAGGTGGGTGGGGCTATAGGTACAAGGACCCTGATTGGCCACTCCAGTCCAAGGTGCTGTGGGCTGTGGATTTGGACAGGGTGTGTCAGTGTTATGGGTGTTAGGCTACCTTAGGCCTGGAACCCGAGTACTAAGGCCTTCCCATCTGCAAGGGCAGCCATGGTGTGTGCCCTGGTGGATCTTGGCCAGTGGTGGTCACTGAGTGCCTAGTTCCTGATGTGTCTGCCGCACTTGGGCTTCTGCAGCTGGTTCCGGAAGAAACATCCTCTGGCCGAGGCGCTCGTGCCTATCCCACCAAGCCCAGACACTAAGGACCGCTGGCGCAGCATGACCGTAGTGCCCTACCTGGAGGACCTGCATGGCCGTGCAGAGGAGGAAGAGGATGAGGACTTGTTTGACATTGAGGATGGCATCATCTACACCCAGGACTTCACGGTGCCTGGTGAGCTGGCTTGCCGCAGCTCATGCTGGAGCTGATGCCTTTGTGCACTCTGGGGCTGCTTCTCTTCCCAAGGCTCCAGTTGACATGAGCCACCAGGACTGCCGGAGCCATCCTGGTGGCTGTGGCATTTCATTCTGGGCTAGCTGAAGGGCTCCCTGGGCCCCATCTACAGCTTATTGTGGCCTCCCTGGCTGCGTCTAGCAGGAGGAGGGGACCCTGGAGGGCAGTGGGTAGGTGCCCTGAGACAGAGGGAGGGTCCAGTGGCCCTCAGTCCTGGCCATGCCTGACCTGTCGCCTTCTTCCCCAGGTGTCGAGGAGGCGGCCGAGGCAGGGCTTAGCGAGGATGCATGCGACACATGCATGTGGAAGAGCCAGGGCGCAGGCCTTCCTGGAGAGGAGCCCGAGGAGGGCTTCGGGGCCTTAGTGTAGCTCCCTGTCTGCTGCCCCACCTGTGTCCTCCATAAAGCTTTGTCCACTGTGTCTGCAGGTGGATGCTTGCCGCGACTGCCCTCCCATCACTATCCTGACAGGCTCCCCAGCAGGGTTTCAAAGAACATGCCTGGGTCCAAGGCCTGAGCCAAAGCCTCAGCGCCAAGGTGGTCACCAGCCAAGGCTCTTGTGGCCTTTGTCCCTGTGTCCCTCAAGCCAGGCCCACTCAGCTCCTGGCCTTTCAAACAGTTGTGGGGGGAGGGTAAGGACCTTGAGCTACTATATCTCCTGTAGCAGTTGAGGGTTCTGAAAGTGGTGCTCACTGGGTGCCAGGTGGGACCCACAAGGACAGGTGTACACCTCATGTCCAGGATGGGCCTTCGCCACAGCCCTTCTCAAGGCTTAAGCCATCCCCATGTGGGAATAGTGTCTTCCACTGTCACCTGGAGCCCTTGCCTTGACTGTCCCACAGGCTGGGCTCCTGGCCAAGAGCTGGTGCCTGACAGGGCCCTCTTCATGTGGCTCCTCTGTGGGGGCGGGGGAGGGGGTGCATGAGGGACTCAAGGCTTGAGGTTTAAGGAAGGCAAGGGTCTGGGGACACTGGGGTAGTGTTGCACAGAGTGAAGTGACAGCCTGGTCCCTCTGTACCTGGCACGAGGGTCATACTCGGCAGCAACAGGACAGGGGCTTTTTTCTACTCAGTGCTTTGTGTGGAGGAGGGGACAGAGTCCCTCCTCAGAGTCCACCTGACCTCATGCCCTAGTCCCGTCCAGCACGAGAGCCAGCGTGGGTTCTGCTAGTGTGGCCAGGTCAGAGGTTGTGGATCCAGGAGCATGGGCAGTGGGGCTTGTGCTGGGTCCCCACAGCTGCATCACAGAGCACTAGGCTGTGTAGTTCCATGTAGACACTGCCCACTGGGACCTCTTGTCCTACCATGAGGGCAGGCCAGCAGAACAAGCTGGGCCTGCAGCCCCCAGCTGGATGGTCTCCTCTGAGCCCTGCACAGCTAGTAACACTGAGTCGATTGCTTCATCTCCTTGTGCCTGTACTGAGGGTCTAGAGCTGGCTCCCTGGAGAGCTCTGAGCCGGTGTACGGCTGCCCAGGCTAGACAGGCAGGTGAGCATGGGCACGCTGCAGGAGGGCCAGGGCACGCCACTGACGGCACTGGGCCGGCTGCCTTGGAGCTACTGAGGGGTGGCACCAGAGGCTAGAGAGCACAAGCCTGACCAGGCTCTGGCACACTTGGGGCTGGCTGGGCCCTGGGGCTTGGAGCTGCCTGCCCCTTGGCTCGAGCTATGCTTGCCATCTTCCCACAGGACAGGTCCTGGAAGAGGAAGTGGGTCAGAATGGACAGAGCCACAGCCTGCCCAAGGCTGTTTGTGTGAATGGCACAGAGCCCCAGCTCAGCAGCAAGGTGAAGCCAGAAGGCCGGCCTGGCACCGCCAACCCTGCGCGCAAGGTGTGCTCCAGCAACAAGATCCGCCGGCTCTCGGCCTGCAAGCAACAGTGACTGAAGCCTGCAGGTGGGCTTGGGCCAGAATCCAGAGCCGTGCTTGGTAGTCACAGTGGGCATCTGCTATGCTCTGAATTCCTTCCCTTAGGGCGGGCTGCAGGGGCTGAGGACTGGTGGCTGAGGCCACAGCCCTTACCAGTCAAGGTTATATACAAAGGACCTCTCTGCTCTGGAGTGGCTATAGTACCTGGGGCCTGGTGCTAAGTGACCACCCATTCTACCAACAGTGTGTCGCCAGGATCTCTGGACAGGTGTCCCAGCAAGGCTGTGATTCTGGGCCTGCCTGTCCACACACTTCCAGACGTTGGAGCTGAGGGCAGACCTGCCACCCCAGAAGCACTTTATGTCAAGACCACTGGCCGGCCTCGCCTGCATGTCGCTCTGCGAGCCTTGCTGTCTTTGGGTTGGTTTTTCTTTTTTAATAAAACAGGTGGTTTTGAGTTGTGGCTATGAGGGTGTTTGGAACTGTGGAGCAGGCGGGGCACATGGTTGCCTACAGAGAAAACCCAGAGCAAACCAATATGCAGAGACATTTATGATCAACCAGACAACACGACCAACCATAGAGGGCGCAGGGCAGGGAGTGGGCAGGCACTCGTGGCGAGGCTGCCCTATCTTTTGGCAATAAATAAAGCTTGGGAAACTTGATGCTGCCACCTGGGCTGTTCTGTCCGTCTGTCCAAAGCCCAAGGCTCTTGGGTAGCAATGGGACAGGGTAGAGGCTGTGCACATGCAGGGTGGGCGCGGTCGGTTATCGCTCAGAGAAGAACTGTAAGGCCGCTACAAAGCGCATACTATGGACAGGGTAAATAGATGAGGCTCTGGGGCGCCGAGCTCCTCGCTGATCCTCAGTGCCCCACAGTCACTTCCCCTCCAGTAGGTTCGCGCATGCTTATGGCAGGCAGTGGCACCGCCAACACGTGCTCACGAATGGAGGTTCAGCTGATCCTGGAGAGAGGCTGCACTTGCACCTCAGAACCTGCTCCACCCCCATCTGTGGCCAGAGACTGGGTGCCGGGGTCAACCTTCTATGGATCCCAGAGTCCAATCTCTTCATCCTCCCTGCAGCTGAGCCTCGGTCCTGGAGCCTCGTGCTTCCGGAGGCCACTGCGCCCAGCTAAGTGCCCCACTTAGCAAGCACGCTTGGGATGTGGGCCGCGTACCCATGCACAGCAACCTCAGGTTGCCCCTGCTATCGCCACCATTCCCATGGCGGCCCCACGTGCTGCCGGAGGAGCAGCCGAGAGGCAGGTCCAGTACACAGAGCTTAGGCGGGGCTGTGGTCAGGGGATGTAGGGGCGGCAGCAGCGACAATCAGCACCGGGGACGAGGCAACTGGCTCAGCAAGATGGGGAGAGAAGAGTCTCTCGTCGAGGCTGGCTGCTAGCTTGTCCAGCAGTGCCCCGGCGGGCTCAACACACAACCCAGATCCTGGGCAACCACCGCCTCCACCTCCAGGCTCCTCCTCGATGACAGGAATGGATGGGTCATCACCCGTGATGGGCAGCGCACGGCCTTCAGGAGGACAGTCAACACTGTCCCCACGGCGTAAGGGCGCACGTGTGGGGCGAGTCGCCCCAGGGGGCGTGGCCGCGCGTGCGCCGCCGGGGTCGCTGTGCTGCCTGCCTCTCTGTTGCCATTGCTTCCGTGCATGAGTGTGAGGATGCGCACGTGCACGGTGACGCGGAGCGTCATCAAAATGAGGGTCATGGCGCAGGAACTCATGGAAAAGAGCGTCCGTCTTCTCGTCGATGCTGTAATCGCGGCGTGGCCTGCGTGGCCAGGCTCGCGGGCTGCGGGGAGGACTGCGGGCTGGAACAGGAAGTTCGGAAACTTCGTCGCCCGCCCCTCGTCCCTCGATGCTCGCGTAGCCACTGTCCATCTGTAGCAGGCGGCGGGCTTCGCCGTCCTTAGGCCGCAAAGCAGGTGGAGACTCGAGAGGGGGCGGGAAGGCGGGTGCTGCGCCTCCACCCCCGGAACCCGAGCCCGAGCTATCACCGCTGCGCACTGAGTCGCGGTCATTACCGCTGCTGCTGTGGTCCGACGCAGTGGCCGCGTGGAGCTCGAGCGAAGCACGAAGGCTCCACAGGTCACGGTAGCTGCACTGTGCATGCTCGGCGTCCTGCTCTTGCTGCGGGTCCTGCTGCTGCGCATGCTCGGGCCCCAAACTGATGCCATGCTCCGGAGGAGTCTCGGGGCTTGCTCCTCCCGCCGCCTCAGCTGCCTCTAGCCTGCAAGGCCAGGCCCACGTGGTCAGAGCCTGCAGGTATTGCCCTGCCCTGCCGGCTACACATTTGTGCTTTTAGGGACTATGGACATGGAGGGACTCCCATCCAGTCTGGGCCACTCCTAAGTGATTCTCTTGATGTGCAAACACCAAATCACCAGCCCCTTGACTGGGTGTTACCTCACCCACTGGTCACGGGCCTGATACAGCCAGGTGTGAATCAATGAAGGGGGGGGGTCACCCCTAAGTTTGCAAGGCCTCAGGCTGTACTCCAGTGGTTTTAGCATTTAGGAGGTTTGCTTGTGGCTTGGTGGGGGAGAGGTTACTTCGGATAGCAGCTGTTACCAAGGCTGCTCCCTGATTGGGGTCAGGCATACATCAGGAGTGCAGGCAGGCATAAGGGACGCTGGCACCACTGAGGAGCTCTTCAGACCTCGGAGCCTGCCACAAATTGACAGGGCCATAGTAGGCCCAAGCCCACTGCCCTGCTCTGGTGGGTGTCTCATCTTGGAGACCCTGGGACCATCAACTGCCCATCTACCCTTACCCATTCTCTCCCTGCTTCCCTCCTCCTTCTCTGGTCTGCGCTGGAGAGGTGGCCCCCATGAAGTGGCCAGGGTGACTCGAGTTCGTGTCCACAGGGCCAGGAGGGCAGTCCCTGGGCCACCTATGGGGGATGGGGCAGGGCAGGGGCCCACAGGCCCACCCTTAGCACCTCCATCTACTGAACAATACCTGCCGAGAGTGGGGGGTGGGCTGGTGGGGCTGGCCAGAAAGGGGCGGGGGGGTGGGAAGGCCACCGAGTCGCCTGCGCTGGCAATGTATTGAATGAAGTCGGCGTGGGGGACATCCCCCTCTTGCTCCATGCTCTCACTGGCTGCCCGCTGTCGCTGAAAGTGGTGCCGCTTAGGAGAACCTGTGGTTGAAGATCAGACCAGGACCAAAGATTAGGCGTGAGCTGAATGACCTCACAGGGAAGCAGTCCAGATATCCTTGGCTGGACCAGTGTGGCCATGAGAAAGGATGGCCAGGGCCTTGCATGGCCCAGCTTTTCCTGCACAGGAGGGAAGAAGATGCCACCTCCTGTAGGCTGCACCGTGCCCTGGGAAGCTCCCCAGGATCTTACCCCAAATAGAACTGCCAGTGGGCAGGGCTCCAGGTG